ATAAAATTATTATTTAAAATTTTAAAAATATTAGTATACATGGCTCATACCTAAAATAATATTTTTATTGGTTGCAATGTGCTTTTTTTTTCTATCCAAGATAAGCCCCAAGGCATGGCCGGACAACAAAATACAAAACATATAATAATAAAGAACGGTAATCCGTATGCAACCGGATTCCCGATGAAAGAGCCTGTTATGCCACTAGGTGGGCAGCTCTGAGAAAGCTCCAAGGAGCGAAAAGACACGAAACTGACACGAGGGGCAGAAAGAGAGAGAAAAGAAACTTCCCTGAAAGTGGCTCATGCACTGGGAAGAGAATGCTTCCTCGATGTAGGATCCATGTTGATCAGTTGAGAAACCCCGCAATATGTAACAATCAATACATTAAGGGTAAGATACAATCACATAGCCTCACTAAAGACAAGCAATTTGATATGATCATCGATAATACCATAATAGAATTATGAAAGTCAAATGGAATAGTTCCATCACCTGAGAAGCCGACCGAGTCAGTTGCACATCCTTGAAGATTCTTTGTAACAATTGAATAAATCATTTAACGAGACTTGCTTTCCATCATAGGTTGAGGAGATGCTTGATCATAACTTCACAATACTAAATTTTCCTGTACAGATACCAGCTACAAAGGCACCACAAGGTGCTAAAAATCTCTAACTGAAGAGATTAAAATTTGTCAAGAGATATAGTCGGACTTCACCGAAAATTCCACATCAATAATGTGGTTTCAACCCGAAGAAAGTGAGTTAATTCTGAAAAGTAAAAATATAACTGAGCTTGCTCAAATAAATTAAATAAATAATTAATATTTACCTAATCATTGTTACCGAAAGAGAATTGATGACGAAAACGTAGATTAAGGGAATAATAAAAGTTAACAACTAGCAATTGAAATCATAAATGAGATAATTAAGAAAGGAATTAAATTAATTCAAAAAGTTTCTGTTTCGGAAACTTACCTTTAACGTAATTACCTTATACGGGAGCGGTGACGCAAATTCAGCGCGGTCTTCATCAATGGCTTGACTCGCCGGCGATTTCATCAATGACGACCCCCCATCGCCGGAATGACGATCCACGAAACTACCGACCGCTCATCACCGATGATCACCTTGAACGACAACTTCGCCCGAGAAGAACGGAGTTGCCCTGCCAATTCTGTCCCCAGTTCGGCAGTTCCTCGTCATTAGAAGATAAAACAATGAAACTGTTGAAGATTTCTTACAATTGGAATCAATCGTCAACAAATAAATAGAAGAACGAAAATCATCAATCGCCCATCCAAAGTATATTGGGTCGGACTGCTATTTGCTGAATAGATGTCCGAAATTGACGGCCATCGGCAAGCGACGAGAATCTCTCTTCGGTTTCTTCTCCTTCGTTTCTGCGGAATTCCCTCTCATGGTTTCTTCAGTTATCTAAATTTCTCTCTTCCTCTCCAAATCATATAAGCAAAATACCACTCTCTCTCACTGTTCCTGTTTAGGCAGAAGAGGTCAAGAATGAAAATCAAAAATGGTCATGATTGGTTTTATTAGGATATGAAACAAGATAATGAAAATCATTAAATGTAATGACAAAAATAGTAACATTATACAAATATTTTTTTTTAAGAATTACTCCTTTAACAACTTTTAAGTTGGAAAGTATATGAAAGGCAAACTCTATCCTGTATCTGTAAGAAGATTAGAAGAAGAATTCACTTTGGCTCTTTGCCGTAAATCAAGCATCAATCAGCTCCATTTAGTCCGCGCCAAAGGAAAAAAACACAAGATTATTGCCACAATCCAATCTCAGTCCCTCAAGCCTTATAATTTCATCAATCAATTTCGGCTTATGTTATGCTACTCATTCACCTTCTTTTCAATCCGACCAGACCCACTTTTCTGCTTGTTTTACGCAAACAATCCAATCCAATTTTCGGGTCTAGATTTGAGGTAAAAAAACAGTTTGGGACCGGATCGAAAACCGGATAAAGACCGGATAAGAGATCCCAACACCCAAAATTTAACTTCATCACCCTTTCAGGCCTTAGGCCACTCAAATCCCCCTCAGACAACTCAAATCCCCACGAGCTCAATCTAAAATCGAGACTGAATTGGGACCAAACCGGTTCAAGACCAGACCGTATCCAATCCAATCTTTGATCCTTATATTCTCAGAAAAATCGGACCAGAACCGGATCAATTTGAGCTAATTTAACCGAACCGGAAAGTATAGCCACTAGTAATAATCAAGGTACATTGCCTTTTCACTCGGTCTACATGGAACGGAGTAGCGGCTGACACAACAGTGGTAATGGTAATGGCCAGGCCCAAAAACATTATCCTCCTGAGGATTATGTATGACTTGGTGGCCTATCATATATCTGCAACGCTATTGGCTTCGTTGGCTGTAATGGTATCTTGTGTTCCAATAATGATTCCGGGCTTGGGCCATAAGCCTATGGAACCTGCTCTCGACAATGCTTGGACCCATCTCTCGAGGCCCCACTAAAATAACGCTTGCAAAGTTCAAGCCAGATGTGGCTAGCAAAGGAGACGACCCGGAGCAGATAGTGCTAGGGTAAGGCGGGAAGTTTGGTATTGGTATTTGTGATATATCGAATACCACCGTATCGAATTTGTCTATATTTGATATTACCGAATACACATATTATATTTTGGGATTGGGATTGGGATTGAATTCCAATTGTTATTTGGTATTAGAGATTACGGGATTGGGATCGGTATATACCGATCACTACCGGAATATAAGTTAGTGAGTATTTTATCCTCTCAACTAGACTCTTTCATTCACTACTACACGATCCTCAACCACCAAGAGTGTCATTTAATTATTCATAGATCATTCCATCACTATTTCACAACTTAGAAGCCCCCATCCTACTCAAATTTGACTATCCAATTTACTCTCGTCTCTAACCTAATCTCTTGTAATTTTCATAACACCAAACTGCAAACACTAGTATTAGTCGTCTCGTAACCTCCAATTCGTCAAATTAAAGATTATCAATGACAAGAACTTGAGATGTCACCTCTCCTCCATTCTTCTTATCCATATCCTAGCTCTAGGCAAACTCATAACTCTTTGCTTTGTCTCTTTGCCCTAAATTAAACAATAAAATTTAATTTATATATTTAATTATTAATTGAAAATGTAATTAATTTCGTATTTGATAATACCGATTGGGATACCAAAATTTTTAGGGATTGAGATTGGGATACCAAAATTATTTAGGGATTGAGATTGATTTTAGCGTGTAATTTGGTATTCGGGATTTCGGTATTTGGTATTGAGATACATATACCGTACCGATTTCCACCCCTAGATAGGGCTGAAAGTTTGGTACTGGTATTTGGGATATATCGAGTATTGTACCGAATTTATCACAATTTGGTATTACTGAATACCGACTTATTTTTAGGGATTATGATTGAAATTCATTTTGGAGTGCTATTCGGTATTCAGGATTGGGATCGGTATATACCAAAATACCGAGAAATACTGAAAAATTAAAAAATTAATGAAATATAGCACACAAACTTTGGTCATTCCTCACTCTTTCACAACTTAGAAGCCCTAAAAAATGAAGCCGTAATCCCAAATACCGAATAGCACTCCAAATTGAATCCTAATCCCTATCCCTAAAAAATAAATCAGTGTTCGATAATACGCAATAGTGATAAATTCGGTACATTATTCGGTATATCCAAAATACTAGTACCAAACTTCCAGCCCTAGTCACTTGTGATATGATGGACAGGAACCCCTTGAATTTTAAAAAAAGTAATTTAAGTTTTATTTTGATTTGAAAGATTTAGGATTAGGGTTCACAATTTGGGGTTTATGGTTGGTTTTCAAAATTGAAGGTTTAGGGGATAGGATAATAGAATGATTGGTTGTGATCCTTTGTTATATTATCATATTAGACTAATGCTACCGGTTAAAGTTCAATATTTGATATCTTATAGCCACTTTTAGAGTCAACGCACCCAAAAAAGTGAGTGCACCGAAGTAGCCACCACACACATATATAAGGTGCCTTCTATCGTACCTTGGGTAAAATCTAGGGTACGACATACTCTTAGTAAGAAAATGTTATCTAGACCTCAAATTAACCAGATTTTGGGGCATGATACTATACCCTAACTCTTGATGAGTGAACCCTAGGTCTTAGTTATCTAAATCGTAGACCCTAAACCCTAAGATTGTATATGTAATTTGTTGCATATATTTCGACGAATCATGACCGTCGTTTTTTAGATCTAATTAAATTGATCTTAGTGTATGATATTTTTATAATTATGGCCTAGACTTTAATCTATAAGGATTAGGGTACACTACCATATCGCAAACTCTGTTTAATTCGAGGTCTAGATAACATTTTTTTTCCTCAAGATATGCTATACCTTTGACTTTACTAAAGGTACGATATAACCATCCATATATATGTGTTAGACGGATGTATTCTGGAGTATAGTATACTCTAGGAACTCCAAGTGAGATATCTCTATCTATATACTATGATTAAACCTAGTTTGGGGTATGATACTATTAACTTCTAATGGATAAAACCCAAACACCAATTTTCTAAACTCAAGTCTGAATTTTAATTTAATAGAAACTAATAATTGACCATTGAGATTGGTCAGGGCTTATTGATAACTGTATAACGGGATGAGATTAGGGCTTGTTGATAACTGTATAACGGGATGAGATTAGGGCTTGTTGATAACTGTATAACGGGATGAGATTAAGAGGTTAGCACCATGCTAACTATGCTCACATTCAGTTAATTAAAGGTTAAATTGGTAAAAGACTATGACCATTAGCTAACCCTGATGTGTATTCTATTTCTATCCCATCCCACAACAGCCGCCACCCCTTCCTCTATATTGAAACCGTCATTCTGCATCTCTCTCTATCTCTCTCAATGAAAGAAGGAAGATCCGGATGCCGCCGTTCTACAATGGAGGATGACGATTTCAGGCCAGCATAGTGGAATCTGGGACCATGATGAAAGGGGTCTTGCGACGGAGGGAGAAGCGGTCAGGCTTCTGACATCGGAGAAGGAAGATCTGTCCGGTTTTCGCAGTTCCACAATGAAGAAGGCATATCCGGCCATGGTTGTGGAAGCTAGATCCACGACGGAAGAAGGTGAGGCTGGGCTTCTGACGTCGAAGAAGGAATATATATATTCGCTTGTCGTCGTCCCACCACTACTGTCGTCAATCGCTCACGGATAGCATGCCAGAAAAAATGAGAACTTTTTGTTAGATTTATATTATTATTTGATTAGTAGTGATTTTGGGTTTGTAGTGATTTTCATATGTATTAGCAGTTGAGCAGTCATATTTGTACGGTATTAGTGTTTTTTCTTTGATGTGTAGTTATTCCAGTAGTGGTTTACTCCTACCTAATCGTATTAGTAGTGATTATGTTATCATTACTTTCTAAAGTTCACCCATCATGAATAACTTAAAATTTCTAAATCACTACTAATTACAATTAAATCACTACAAGAACAAATAAAATTGCTAATACAACCACCAAAATCATTACCAATGACCAATGAATGTAGCAGTAGTTTACCGTACTATTTTTCAGGCCTACTACTAAAAAGAAAATAAAATATTTTAAAGTTTAATTTATTAATTAAATTAATTTTTTTATATACCGAATATGCCCCTCCTTATTCTCCAACATCATATTTTAATTAAAAATAATAAACAATGATTATAGTGGTTAGTACGGTGCTAACTCCAATGAAGTTAGCACTCTAACCAGTCCCATGTATAACCGGTCAATTTTTAGAGACAGACGAGACTAAGCGATTAACAAAAATGATGCCGCCAACAATGAACACAATTTGATGAAGGGCTAACCGATAACTGAATACGGTTATTCTTATAACCGAGTCCGTCTACTAATTATTATTAGAATTATTAATTCACAAATTTAAATCACTGTTCCTTACGAATTAATAGGGTTTACCATAATTAGATTCCACTGTTCATTGGGGAATGGATTTCCTGCGGTCCGCTCTAATTTATTTCCTAGCTCTTTACCGTACTTTTTTGTTGGGTAGGCCAAGTGAGGGTTTCAAGGGACGGGATAAGGTGACAACCCCTAAGGGAGTTGTCAGATTCACAACCAAGGGTATTTTGGGTATGAAAAAAAGGAATATATTAATTACCTCTTTTGTATTAATTATATTGGGAATTAAAAACCCATATTAAATACAATTTTTTTTTTGAAATTTAAATCCTAGACATTAATATCTCTATCTATCTCTCTCTCTCTTCCTTTCTCCAGTGGCCACTCCGCATCGACCGACAAACTTTTTCTCCGCCGAATTCTCTCTGGCAGACTCCCTCCGGCAACCTGAAAAAATGTACCAGTGCGTTAAAAAGTGTACCAATCTATTAGTCTACTGGTAATTAATATACCAGTGCTAGTGGTACGCTACCAGTACGTTAAAAAATGTACCAGTACTAGCGGTACCAGTAAAAAATGTACCAGTACTAGTGGTACGCTACCAGTACAACGCTACCACTACCATATTGGTAGCGGTACCAGTAGAGAATAACACAACGCTACTAGCACTGGTAGCGCTACCACTAGCATTGGTAGCGGTAGTAGAGAATAACACAAAAAAAAAAAACAGATGATAGTGGTACCAGATGATAGGGGAGCCACTGGTATTGGTACCAGTTAGTAGTGGTAGCGTACCAATAGCGCTACCAGTGATATTGGTACACTACCAGTGCTCACTGGTACATACCAATAGAGACTAAAACAAAAAATCAGATCTGGAAAAAAATAGGGATGATGAAAGAGGGAGGCAGGGAAGAGTCTTGACCTCGCGGCGGCGGCGTCATAAAAATGGGGCGGGGACAGCGGCGCGGCAGGGCTTAACTCGGCAGGAGCGGCGGGACAGCGGCGCGGCAGGGCTTATCGCGGCAGGAGCGGCGGGGACAGCGGCGCGGCAGGGCGACGGGGACAGTAGGCGCGGTAGGGCGGTGAGGACAGCCGGCGCGGCGGAGGTTAGGGGTGGCAGTGGGCATGGGGGAGGAAGAGGGAGCTGTGGTGGTGGGAGGGCTGTGGCGGCGGAGAGAGGGGAGGAGAGACGGTGATGTCTACGGGAGAGAGGGAGGATAGAGGAGTTAGGGTTTTTGTTCTTTTTATATGGTAGGGTGAATGATTGGGTGTGGTAAATTTTTACCCTTCCAAAAATATCCTTCTTTTAATCTTAACCGTTAATTTAAAAAAAGAAGAAAGAGACAGGAGAGAGAGCGTATCCAAGGGCTATGAAGTGGGTTGTGAATATGACAACCCCCTTAGGGGTTGTCACCGTATCTCATCCCAGGATTTCAACCTTTTTCTTGCCGACAACCGACAATTGCTACCAACCAAAGCTCACTGTCTTCTCCATTTCACCATTTTTATTCCAACATTTAGAGATTTCTAATAATAATGATTTGAACTTTTTATTGGTAACCATAACCAAAAAGCAAGGATTATAAAATCGTATAGTATTGATGGTTAGACCGAAAGTTTTTCTATCGAGTTTAAATTGGTATGTTGTTTTTAACAGTATGAAATGGTTGTTCTATCGAGTTAACCCATAGTTTTAGAACAAAAATCATACCGCTGACTTTTTCAGTAACACCCAATTTCACCATGATTTTTCCCCCTATAGTCAACTATAATTGTCAATTGTGTATTATGTAAAACTCATTATTAGCTACAATGTTCATCATCCACCAATACGTAAAAGTTCTGTAAGATAAGATAACTTTTGCATAGTAGTTTAAGTGAATGCGATTCCTTACATAACTTGCTTGATTTCATCATTAGACCACACATTAGGGAGGATTTATGTAACATAATTCTATAATAATTGCGTAAATTAAAAATTCATATGCAAAAGCTTATCAAGAGATAATTGTTCCTTATATATTAATTGATCAGAACATATTAAATAAGTCTTCCATAGCCATAAGTCAACTATATTTGCGTAATTCAAATACAGTACATACAACTTATTATTAGCTACAATGTTCAGTATATCATCAATTTACATAACACAAAAAGCTGTAAAGTAAGATAACTTTTACGTAGTAGTTTAATCAATTGTGATACTTAAAATAACTTACCTAATTATATCATTAGACCACATATTACAAAAGATTTTCTTAACGTTCTATAACAATTATGTAAATTAAAAGTTCTTACTTAAAAACTTATAGAGGGATGATCATTCCTTATGTATTAATTGAACAGAGCTTATCAAATAAGTCTTTCGTAATCATAAGTTCCTTTTCCTCTATAGTCAACTATATTTTCGAAATACAAATACATTAAGCAAAAGTTATAGAGTTATAATGTTTACCATCTCATTTGCATTATGCAAGTCATGTCAGGTAATATAATTTTTACATAGTCGTTTAATCGAAATTGATACTTTAAATAAGTTGCATGATTTTATCATTAGACAAGACATTACGAATAATTTACGTATCATCGTTATATAACACTTACGCAAATGAAAAATTCATTCATAAAGCTTATAGAGATATAATTATTCCGTATGTATCAGTTAAATATCATGTATTAAATAAATCTTTTGTAATGGCTAAGACACTACGTAAAACTTATGGAGAGATAATGATTTTTATATATCAATTAAATAAATATAATACATAAATATTCCGTAGTATAAGTTTGAATTAATTCCTAAAATTTAACTAAACTATTAATCATCTCATTAATTTGCATTATACATCAACTTTACATAACAATTTAATCATAGATGATTTTATTCGTAACTTAAGGAAATATATTACCCAAACTATTTTTGAACTATTTAATTTCAACTAATTTATTAAATCAACTGATATAATTTAAAATAAAATTAGTTTCTCACAGCAAGAAAGCGCGGGTCATAAAACTAGTTACAACTTACAACTCAAAAGGTTTAGCCTATTTAAAAATATTATTAGTCTATTTTTCTTTTTCCATCATTCCAAGAGTATCGGCCGCTCGTGCTGCAATTTAACAAAATCATCACTATTATCAACGTATCAACAGAGCTGAATCCAGAATGAATATCCCCGCCAAACGCACCAACTACTAGTACATAATCAATCAGCTCTTTTCGGCTTCTACCCAAAAGCATATCCCTTTGGTTTCCCACTTCGATCATCCTTCGCCTTCGAAGGTTCCGTTTCCCGTTTCTCTTCCTTCTCCCTTTCTTCTTCTTCTTCTTCTTCTTCTCCATCATCTATCTCTTTGATCGCTTGTTGCATTTGAATTTCAGCTTCAGTATCAATGGTTCTTTCTGCTGAATGTCTGGGTCTGTGTTTCCTATGCTTCACAACAGAGTCTTGAGTTTGCCGGCTTTAATTACTGCCGGTTTGTTTGTTTCTCCGTAATTGTTATTGTTAATTTATATTCTATTTCCCCTACTTCCAGGTACTAGCTCAATTGGAGTTCAAACGGGAATTGGCATTTGTGCAGTGAAGATTCCATTTGCCTCCCCATTTTCGCATTTGTGTTGTTGGGTAAAACGACAATTGTTGACTCCCAAGGCGGGTTTTGGGTGTGTGTTAAGTGGAATTCGTGTAGGTTGGTCAGGCAACAGTTGGTGAGACTTAGGTTGATTAATGACCAGTTTTAAGGAGGACCCAGTTCTTGGAAGTAACGACATGATAATAAACAAGGAAGGTTCTGAAACTGGCAGTAGCAGCAGGTCCCCTGTTGTGGAAAAGGCGAGAGAGGAAGGTCAAAGTGGGAGAGACATGGCACCTGCTGGGAATTCCATTCACCGTTCTGCTTCAAGGCCCCAGCTTGACCTTAGCAAGGCTGCAATTCAGGGCAATTTTGAGGAGAGGGATCCCACAATTCTGCTGCCTAACCAATCTGATGACATTTCGCACTTGGCTCTTGATATTGGAGGTTAAGCCATTTCCCTTGCATTAACGCTTGTTGGGTTGTGACTCGGTACCTCTGCTTCTCTGCTTAGTCTTGCGTGGTTATTAATGCGTCCTCCCATATCTTTTGTTCATGTTCCGTCCTGTTGCATTTAGGGGTCTTTTGACTCCATTATTAATCTATCCGGCTATCTGGTCTAGTAAGGAAAGGGAACATCTTACCAAATTTACAAATTTCAAGCAACGACCTTCTTTTCCCCAAAATTGTAAGTTGTTGAGATTTTTCTCGTCCTTCTCCATTGAAGCATCTATTCTGTTCTGGTCTCCGGAAAGTGTGTGTCTTTTAATTGGAGGTGCTCGTGTAGCCTGTATATCTTACTGTAAACTGTGATAACTCTTTAATGCAATTAGAATCATTAAGCTATTTGCATGATTTATCTGCAGGATCTCTAATCAAACTCGTATATTTCTCAAGACATGAAGATAGATCAAAGAATGACAAAAGAACAAAGACGCTCCAGGAAAAGCTGGGAATATCAAATGGTAGCAGGAGAAGCTTCCCTGTTCTTGGTGGAAGGTTACACTTTGTGAAGTTTGAGACAACCAAGATTAATGAGTGCTTGGAATTCATCTCTTCCAAACAGCTCCATTGTGGTGGTATTTAAACTTAAAACCGCTGCTTGCTTGTCCTCTTCAGTTGATTCCTAATAACCCTTCTTACTATCCTACGTTACTTATGTTCTTATTCCAGCCTTTTCATCTTCCCATAACTTCTCTAACAGGAGTAGATGCATGTAATGGACTTCTTGGAGCTTCAGGCAACCAAAATGCTGTAATCAAGGTGCAATTTTGTGTTTATCTTGTGTTTTGAACATAACCATAGAATTCCTTAAAGCTCTTGTGAATTTGTTTCTTAAGAACAACAATTACTTTTGTGTAGCATCCATAGAATTCGGTTTGGACAATACGTGATAAAGCAGTATAAACATACAGTAAAGTAGTATGCAGCTGAAGACTAACTTCCAACCTGTGTTGATTGGAAAAGTACTCAGCTGGTTCAAGTATTTCCTAGCCCGGAGATGTGAATTTCATGTAGATATTGTACAGAAATTGGCTACTCCCATTTTTCTAGTCAATTTCAGGCTTCCCGTCCTCATATATATCTGCTTCTGGAAGTATGGAATTTCCCCACAACATGGGTCTGATATTTCATGTTCCTAAAACGGATGAAGAAACTGTTTGTTATGCATGATTTTAGAAATTACTACTTTGATTTGCCAACATTTTCTTGTGTTGCTTGTCCAGTTCTTGCATGCTTTTAGTAAGAAATGTTTTTTTTTTTTGGTGTGAAGGCCACAGGTGGTGGGGCGTACAAGTTTGCTGATCTCTTTAAGGACAGACTTGGGGTTAGTCTTGACAAGGAAGATGAAATGGATTGCCTTGTTGCAGGAGCAAACTTTTTGCTTAAGGTGGAAATCTGATACTAATTTCACTACTTTTAATACCAATTCTTAAATACTAGGCTTGTAATCTAGTCATTTAGAGGTTCACCTCGGGAAACATAAAGTGCTTTGGGATTTCTGTATTTATTGGTATTGTAGTATGCTTATCATTGGTCGGAGAAACTTGAACCAGCTTCACAGGAACATAATTAAATATAACACCCGAGTCTCAGCATTTGTTTTTCGCTCTGCTCTCAACTATTTTAGTTCAACCCTTCAGTGGAAATTTACAGGGACATAATATAGTTAGAGCATGTCATCATTCTTCTTTGGTTGTCTATCACTCTATTTGAAAAATCAATCCATTTGGCAATCTTGTAATTTCTGTATGGTTGGTTTTCAAACTTCAGTATGGTTTCTTATGTCTCTGATCCCCACTTTGAGTAGGCTATTCGTCATGAAGCGTTCACCCACATGGAAGGTCAGAAAGAGTTTGTCCAGATGGATGACAATGATCTGTTTCCTTATCTTCTAGTAAACATTGGTTCTGGTGTTAGCATGATAAAGGTAACCTACTGTTTTCCTAACGAGCTTCTTGGCTTGAATGTTTCTGTAATTTGTTATTGAAGAGGGTCAGATAGTACCTTTATACTTGCAGGTTGATGGAGATGGGAAGTTCCAGCGTGTTAGTGGGACCAATGTTGGTGGCGGTACATATTGGGGATTGGGGAAGCTGTTAACCAAGTGCAAGAGGTTACTGACTCTCCTTTGGTCATTCCCAAGTTCTCTTACTACGCAAGTCGCTCTGTTCTGAATCGTACAGTTGCAGTTTTGATGAATTGCTGGAGCTGAGTCAAAGGGGTGACAATAGGACTATTGACATGCTTGTTGGTGACATTTATGGTGGGACGGATTATAATAAGGTACTACTTAGATATTGATGGTCTTGTGTTCTGTTTCTACGATCAGAGTGAATAACAAACTACTGTTTGGCTTTGATGCTTTAATTGTGGTATAATGCTCAAATTGTATCCTCGGAATAGACATTTTCTGAGGATTTCTTCAACCTGTTTCTTTCATATGGATATAAAAGTGTAGTACTGGACCATGTTGGCAGAGTCTATCATTCAAGAGCTTTCCTATATCTGGTCAAATAACATAATTTATGTATTGTTCTAATCTGTGCATTCCCTGTAATCGCAGATTGGTCTGTCAGCATCAACTATCGCGTCTAGTTTTGGGAAGGCTATTTCTGAACAGAAGGAACTTGAAGACTACAGCCCTGAAGATATTTCTTTGTCCCTCTTACGAATGATTTCATACAATATCGGGCAGGAAAGAAAACTGATATCTATTTACTAGAAGACATAATTTTGAGGCCGAATATAGTTTAAGATCATAAATGCAATGGTCCTCCTTACATTTTCAAACTTGGACATTTCCTTGTTTGTCAGATTATTGTTTCCTGAGTATATTATTACATTTGTCTGCCACTATCTACTCTTTCCTAATGCTTCAGCAGATATGCATGGTCATGCTGGCTCTGAGTTCGTTTTCTGCTTTGCAGATTTCATATTTAAATGCACTCCGTTTTGGACTTAAGAGAATCTTTTTTGGTGGTTTCTTCATAAGAGGTCATGCTTATACCATGGATACAATCTCTTTTGCTGTTCAGTTCTGGTGAGTATTTTGGAAGTTTTTGAGTGACACACTTTCTTGAGTTGAAGAGAGGCTAATAGCACAATCTTGAGCATCATTCTATTTACATTTTCCTTTTCCGAATAACTAGAATGATATTAGCAGTGTGATGCCTAACGTGTAGGTCTAAAGGGGAGATGCAAGCAATGTTTCTCCGGCATGAAGGGTTTCTAGGAGCCTTAGGTGCGTTTATGAGCTATGAGAAGCATGGTCTGGATGACTTGATGGTTCATCAGTTGGTTGAAAGATTCCCCATGGGAGCACCATACACCGGTGGAAAGATTCATGGCCCCCCACTGGGTGACTTGAATGAAAAGGTAAGTGAAATTATGGGTTACAGAACAAGAGATGTAGTGCTGCCTCATTAGTCTATGCATCTGGATCTAATTGCTGTGTTAGCTTTGGCAATATCATTGATTTAACATGCTGGTAAATCTGTCTGTGTCCAATGCTTCATCCATGTTTGTTGATGATATCATAAACTTCATACAGGAACATCGTATCCATCTCCTCATATCACCATCATGGCTTCTTATATGGTCATTCTTTGTCTACCTGTGTGAATAGTGCGACCATGCTCGTTATAGGATAGAACGGGTAATGAGGAATAGACTTACTGTATAGGCTTTTAAGTGGGGATGGTGTTTCCATTTTTTCTATGTTCAAATATAAGTGCATAACATTTTGTCTAGCCTAGTCTGCTTTAGAATAGAGGTTGTTAGTGGAAATTTGTACCTTTGAGATGGTAACATCAATTCCTATTGGTAGACACATGCTTTCGGATTGTGCCCTGTTATTTAGCATATATATTTGGTGATAAGGCTCCCCCAGTAATGGTATCTTTCTGGCCCCAGAATGGCCAAAGAAAAAAGTGAAAATTTGTCATTCTTTCTGAATTATGCCATCTTTGATGAACTTGGTGTGAAAAACTATTGTCCTTGTCTCAGGCAACAGAAGTGTGACTAGGCTTGTCGTATAAGCTAAATAAATTCCCTGTTATTCCTTGAAAGTCAATTTATTAGGGCTTCTAATTCATTCAATGTTTACCAAAATGCAGATTTCTTGGATGCAAAAGTTTGTGCTAAAGGGTACTGAGATAACTGCACCTGTGCCAATGGCTCCTCCAGGAACTACTGGCCTTGGTGGCTTTGAGGTTCCTTCCTCGAAAGGGGGTACACTACGATCTGATGCAAGTGCTCTAAATATCGGTGTTCTCCATCTCGTACCGACTTTGGAGGTGTTTCCGCTGTTAGCAGACCTGAAAACGTATGCAGAAGCCAACACTCTTGCTTAGAATCTCAAATCACTTCAAATGTTATTGGATAATTTTAGATTGGGTGCAGCTAAAGCTCACTTGACTTCTGTTATAGTTCCAAAATTTCTCCCATGAGTTTTTGACTGTTAATTGGCTAACTTCACTTCCACCCTTTGTGGTGATAAATATCTGAATGAATAAATCAAGTGATAATTTCATAGCATTACGCAAAGGAAGTATCTATTGTTTTTTGTATCTATGCATTTCCTGACTGCTGAATTCCATGCCCACAGGTATGAGCCCAATACAATCGATCTTTCTGATCACAATGAATTGGAGTAAGTCATTTCTGGGACTCACAACCTATATACATCAATCTGTTACCGACAAAATTTTCTATTGAAGTTTCTGTGTCTTTGGTTTGAAGTTTTATTGACTAAACTTACATGATAACATGAATGTAGGTACTGGTTCACTGTCCTGTCCGACCATATGCCTGATCTTGTTGACAAGGTAATAAGGTCTTCTTGAAGTTATATGGATGATTTTTTTTATTAGTATAAATGCAAGAAGTAAAACTCTGTTCAGAATGAGGTTTGGTGTGGGTGATAGTCTTAGTTTCTTCTGTATCCTCAGTTTAATTTCATCATTTACAGAAAGTCTAGTTGAAAACCTTACCGTGATGGTAGGAAAAAAACCAGAATCCATTCCCCCGCCCCTCCAGCGAACAATTTATTAGCTAAGTTTGACTGGGCAAGGGGAGGATTAGTCATAAAAGTTCGAGTACATATGGGAGAGGTACAGTTGCTTGCCATCCTCACAGCAAGTTGGTATCCAAACCAGTACCCATCACACTTTCATATATTATTATCAAATTACTAATTAGACTATGTTAAAAAATACCATCCTTAGTTTTCTCATTTTATGAGCTCAATGAAATATTCTAGGCAGTAGCAAGTGAAGGGGGGACTGACGATGCTAAAAGAAGAGGCGATGCTTTTGCTCGTGCATTTTCAGCTCACTTGGCGAGGTATATTCATACTACATATTAGGGTTGTGTAGTCACTATAAGACTTTAGTGGGATTCAAAATCAGAGTTTCATTGCCTTATCTCTAGACAAATTTTTTACTTCCAGTTATCCTTTTGCGTTGCTAACCCATTCATTGCTCGTCATACATTCACCCTTCCAGAAGATCAGGTCTTCTCCCACCTTTATGGGGATTGTATTTCCAAATTAGTAGAAAATTTTAAGCCAGTTTGAAATGTGGTTGCTTACCTTAATCTTGAGTTAAGATATGTAGATCTGAGTCTTCCAGGCTGTGTTATTCAGATCTTGCTATAGGTAGGTAGCACAGGCTTGGAGATAAAAGTGATATCCAGCATTGCACATTTCTTACACAAGGTGCTTTCAAAAATATATAAAAACGACTCCATGGTTTCTACAGTGTTATTGAACAACATCATGCATTAGCTTGTTGGATATTGTAGTCTAAATCTTTCAAGAGCAGTTGAGAGAAAAGCTTGTGAACAATGTCTTTCTCAATTCCATGAGTCAATTCCCAGCACTCTTTCTATTGATAAAACAGAAATTTTCTGGCACTCTTTTTAGGTTGATGGAGGAGCCCGCAGCATATGGGAAGCTTGGATTGGCCAATCTCTTGGAGCTCAGGGAAGAGTGTCTGAGAGAGTTCCATTTTGTTGATGTCTACAGAACTATTAAACAGAGGTTATTCATTTAATCTTGAACTATCCTTATATAATGAGTTCAATATGATGTTGCTCACTATGACAGTGAGCATTTTCACTTTCTTCTATTTTGGATTTCCTTATGCCATGTAACTTGTTTACATGCGTAAGATGTCTTTGAGCATGCAGTAGGATACTTGCATTCTGTTTAATACATAGTATTCAGATTGCATGAGATGGAGCTGAATTGAAGTTCCTTAGCTTGGTAAAGAATCTTTCTTCTTTCCTTCCTTGAAAAAAAAAAAAAAAAAGCAAAAGTAGCAGCAGCAGCAGCAATGCTGTTTGAAGACTTTGACAATGATGGTCCAAATAGGCATGGAAACATGGCATTTATATTTCGCTTTCGTAGCTTTGCTTCAGGATCAAAACAAAGTTGTTTGTCTAAGAATGGTACTGAATGTCGCAGGGAAAATGAGGCATCACTTGCTGTGTTGCCTGACCTATTAATGGAGCTTGATAGTATGACAGAGGTACACGTGTCGTTCCAATGCTTTGTCATATTGCGTGAGTTGAAAACTTTCTGTTACCCAGGAAGTGTAGTAGCTTTGACAAGCTTACTCGACCCTTCTACTTTTTACAGGAAACAAGATTGCTTACCTTAATTGAGGGAGTTCTAGCTGCTAATATATTTGACTGGGGATCTCGTGCTTGTGTGGAACTCTATCATAAAGGGACAATAATTGAAATCTACAGAATGAGTCGCAATAAAATGCAAAGGCCTTGGCGGGTTAGTGAAGAAAATGGTTTTTTTTGTTACATTACAGTTTCTTGCCAAATCTTAATGCTTTGGGCTTCGTCTCTTAGGTGGATGATTTTGATCTCTTCAAAGAGAGAATGTTGGGTTCTGGAGATAAGAAGCCTCTACCGCACAAGAGAGCTCTACTCTTTGTGGACAATTCAGGTGCTGACATTGTTCTAGGAATGCTTCCCTTGGCGAGGGAACTCCTTCGCCGTGGGACTGAGGTAAATTGTTCCCCATATATATTATTCAAAGCTCTCTGGGGGAAATGATTGTTGCTAGTTAATAACTGACACACACTACTTCGTTTGTTTAAATTGCTCAATCATGTACTATCTGATGTTTTGACCAAATTAAGATCAAATTGTGCACTTTGCTTCTTCGTGATTCTGTTCCTTCCCCACTGTTTGTTGCAATAACAAAATAAATCTGGAAATGACATCATTTGTAGGTTGTTTTGGTTGCGAACTCTCTTCCTGCTCTAAATGATGTAACTGCTATGGAGGTTCCTGAGATTGTTGCTGAAGCAGCTAAGGTTAACTATTTTATTTTTGTATTTTGTTTAGTTGTTCTGTAATCCGTCTATGAAACAGGAGAAAGGGAACCAACTTATGTTTGCTACTGTTACAGCACTGTGACATTCTTAGAAGAGCTGCTGAAGCTGGAGGGCTACTTGTGGATGCAATGATCACCAACTCAGATGGTGCCAAAGAGAATTCGTCGTCAGTCCCGCTAATGGTTGTTGCGAATGGCTGTGGAAGTCCATGCATTGACTTGAGGCAGGTCAGCTCCGAGCTTGCTGCTGCTGCGATGGAGGCTGATCTGGTATGGTGTCCCAGTGCAAAGTTAAAGTATGTGAGAGAGATTATATTCATGATAGCCAGAGTCACTCAAACAGTATTAAACTTGCATTTTGCAGATTATCTTGGAAGGTATGGGTAGATCTCTTCACACCAACTTCAATGCTCGGTTCAAATGTGACGCTTTGAAGGTACTATTGAGTAACAGTCAACTTGGTGTTATCATTTTCCATCTCCCAGTCTTCTGAGAATGTTTATTTTATCATTTTGCAGCTTGCAATGGTGAAGAACCAAAGGTTGGCAGAGAAACTGATTCAAGGAAACATATACGATTGTGTGTGCAGATATGAACCAGCAAGTTGAGAGCCTTTTACCGAGTTCTCTCCTGTCAACGGAAAAGCCGCAACTTTTTTTTTTTAATCTTCATGATCACCAAGAAAATCTCAGTTGTATAATTTGAAAATAAAACTAGCTTGCTAGAGGTTTACCATTGGTTTCTGTATGGAATAAAGAGAGTACAGGAACTGCATCAAGCAAATCCCAGTTGTGTTTGTACATACTTGTACTATCAGAATGAAGCCAGCTTCTGTCATCAGTGATTGTGGTGTAAGCCACATTTTATTTTCGAAATCCAGTTATATGCATTTTGCTGCAAACCCAGTCTTCACACTAAAATATGGAAACCAATATCTTTTCAGGAAATGTGCCCTGCTGCCCTTCAGCTAACCCCCAAACCCTTCCAATGTAGCAAGTAGCAACAGGGGAAGTAGGAATTTAAGGCTGGTCTCTTAGAGATAAGTATACATTATATAAATGAAAATGAATTACCTAAACGCAGAAGGGCGTTTGGTCTAGTGGTATGATTCTCGCTTTGGGTGCGAGAGGTCCCGAGTTCGATTCTCGAAACGCCCCTTTTTACGTAATAGCGACCCTTCCTCTGAAACTACAAGTTTAATTTTATCCCTTCGCCTGAAACTACTAATAGAAACCAATTTTTCAATATAATAATGTATAAAGCGACCCTTCCTCTGAAACTACAAGTTTAATTTTATCCCTTCGTCTGAAACTGCTAATAGAAACCAAGTTTTCAATATAATAATGTATAATAGATTTTTGTTTGATGTTATCTTAAGAACACCTTTTTTTTAGGGAGCCTTAAGAATACCTTTTTTTTTTTTGGTAGGAAGACGGACGACAATGCGTCCTAATTCATTAAATTAATAGAGCGATCCATGGAGATGGCCATGGAGTCATACAATAACCATTTACAAAGATTGGGATCGTACACATCGAAGAAATGTGTACCAAAAGGGGCCAAGTGACCCTTGCTCGCCAAGAAATCGGCGGCGAAGTTTCCCTCTCTATTGACATGGGATAAGATAACCTCCCAGTTAAGGTTCAAAAGCTTCCCAATCCGCGCTGCAGTGAGACCGTGACGGTGGTCCGTATCGTCAATATTTTTCATGATGGTGATTGCTGTCGAAGAGTCAAGGTTCAATTCCACCTTACGAAATCCTCTTTCCCACGCTCTCTACAATCCAATTTCTGCTCCTCTAAGCTCGGCCATGGTGATTGTGCAGCTTCCCAAATTGCAAGTGAAGGCGTCGAGACATCTTCCAAGGTGGTCTCGAAGGAGGCCCCCTGCTGCTGCTTTTCCTGAGTTTTGCAGCACTGATCCATCGGTTTGTATTTGAATCCAACCCTCTCTAGGTGGCTTCCAAGCAATGGACGTTTGAATGTGTTGGTTCCGAGGTGCCACGATGCTCTTTTCCTCGTTAATCCTTGCTTGCTTGTACACCTGAATCCAGGACATGATTTTGCTAATCAGCCCTGCCTCTGAGTACGTTTTCCCATCCATAATTTCTTCGTTCCTCTGTTTCCAAATCATCCAGCAGGTGATGCCAAAATCAGTTCCCCTGTCTGCATCATTGATGTTGTCGATGATCCATTGCTGGAAGCTTCTGTTTTCCCCTGGTGAATCTGCCATCTTGAAGAAGTTTCGGACTCCCTCTGTTTTCCTACATTTTCGTAGGATGTGCTCGATCGTCTCCAGCTCCTCATTGCAGGCCTTGCAATTTCCATCTGTAGTTAACTTCCTTTTCGTTCTTTCATGATTGGTAAGAAGTCGGTTATGTAGGACTAGCCAAAGGAAATGCTTCACTCTATTTGGCCCTTTCCACTCCCAGAGCTTCTTCCAATCTGCTTGAGCTTCCTCTCCAACCTCGTTTGCAGCCAGCAGGTAAGCTGATTTAAGTCTGAACCTTCCATCTTTTTCTAGCCCCCAGATCGTGGTATCCTCTCCCATTCCTTGCACGGGTGCATCCATCCCTGCAATGCGCATGAGACAATCATTAGGGAGAAGTGAGTTAAGCTTACTCCAATCCCACTCACCTTGGTCATTAGCCATCTCAGCCACGGAACAACATCTTTCATCATCAGTGAGAGATCTCAGGCTGAAGTCTTTAAGCAAGGTATCTTGATCGATTCAAGGGTGGTTCCAGAATTTGGTTGTTCTTCCATCCCTAATGCTCCAAACAGTGGCTTTCTGCATCAAAGGGTAAGATTTAAGGATTCCTTTCCAAAGGCTTGAGTGATTGCTCCTCTTCATGCCAATGATTCTTCCTTCTCGCTGGTGAAAGTACTTCCCCTGCATTACTTTCACCCAGAGATCATCCTTGTTGTTTAGAATTGACCATGCCAGCTTGATCATATAAGCCAGGTTAAGACTTCGAGCTGATCTAAGTCCCAATCCTCCTTGCTGCTTTGGGGTGCACACCTTCTCCCATGACACCAGATGCACTTTTCTTTTTTCCTTCTTGTGATACCCAGACGAACCGTCTAATCCTGCGATCAATATCATCACAGATGGAAACAGGGAGCATTGATGTTTGCATAGCGTAGGTAGGAATTGCATTAAGGACAGACTGTGCAAGTGTAACTCGTCCTGCCAGGGAAAGTGTTTTAGCCTTCCAGGCTGTGAGCTTCCGATCAATCTTCTCCAGGATGTATTTGAAGGTGGTTTTGGAGATTCTTCCATGAAGAACAGGAACTCCCAGGTACCTCCCCGGGTCATTAGTCTCCTGAATCCCCAACCTGCTGCAGATATCCCTTCGATTAGAGCACTTTGTGTTCTTGGAGAAAAGGACTCTGGATTTCTCTTTGCTGATTTGTTCTCCTGAGGCAGAACAGAAGGTTTCAATGCAGTCCACCACCACCTCTGCCTGTCTTGGGTTGGCTTCAGCAAACAGCACCAGGTCGTCAGCAAAGAAAAGATGAGACAAGGGAGGTCCTCCTGGAGATAAATTCACAGGCTTCCATCTCTTTTCCTTCACAGCATTCTCAATACAATGACTGAGTCTCTCCACACATAAAGTAAACAGGTAGGGTGACAGAGGGCATCCTTGACGGAGTCCCCTACTTGGAGAGAAGCTTTCAGATTCTCCCCCATTCAAGAGCACCTGCATTTGGGTGGAAGAAACACACTACATCACAATAGCAACAAAGTTGGGGGGAAAACCAGCAAGGTACAAGGTCTGCTCAAGGAATTTCCACTCAATTCGATCATAGGCTTTTGCCAGATCAATCTTCATGAGCATCATTCCTTTCTTTCCTGTTTTTCTGGCCATAGAGTGAACTGTTTCCTGCAAAATCAGAATATTGTCAGTGATATGGCGTTTAGGTACAAAGCTAGTCTGGTTCTGCTTCACTAGGATTGGCATAAGTCCTTTGATCCTGTTAGCCAAACATTTGGCTATCGTTTTATAGCCAACATTGCAAAGGCTAATTGGCCTAAACTCCTTCATGGAGACAGGGGCTTCTGTCTTAGGGATTAAGACCAGCAGGGTCTCATTAGTCCTGCTTATCAGATTATGGCAGATGAAGCATTCCTGAATGAACTTGCAGAAGTCCTCCCCAACGCTTTCCCAACATTTTTGGAAGAAAAGAGCGTGAAATCCGTCCTTTCCAGGCGCCTTAAGCCCATTCATGTCATTGATGATGGCTTTGATTTCCTCATTGGAAGGAGGAGCACTGATTCTAGCAAAGCGAGCTTGACTGATCTCGGGGAAGAGACATGGAAGTGGAGGCTGAAGCGGTTGATCATCACTTCTGAACAGGTTACAATAATACTGTCTTGCCATATCCAGGAGGGCGTCCGGATCAGTAACCCAGTTGCCATCCTCCGCTTTAAGGCAAGTAATCATGTTTCTCCTTCTTCTGGTCAAGGTGCTTGTGTGAAAAAACCGTGTGTTAAGGTCTCCAAACAGCATCCAGTTGGCACGCGATTTCTGCATCCAGAGGATCTGTTCTTGCCAGACCGTTTCTTCCAACTCTTCTCGAATTCTTTGTTCCATTTCCAGGGAGCTTCTGCTTTGAGAGGTTTCATTGAACTTCTCAATTTTTTGGAGCCGATTGGAAAGCTGCCTCTTTCTTTTGAAGATGTTTACGAAAGTCTCCTTGTTCCAGGTTTGTAACTTATCAGCAAGAGCCTGCAATGACACAGGGAAATCAAAGCCACCATTCCAGGAACTAGACATGAAAGAGAAGAAATCAGGGTGAGCAAGCCAAGGTGCCAGGAACTTGAAACGTCTCACCCTCTTAGTCTTGCTCTGTTGAACTTTGTTACAGGTAAGGATGGGTCTGTGGTCAGACTTGAGCTTGATCAAATGCAAGGTCGAGGTAGAGGGGAATTGTTGGATCCACTCCAGGTTGCAAAGGCTGCGATCAAGTCTTTCTTGAATTCTGGATTCCTTGGTGAACCATGTGAACTTTGGCCCTGAGAATCCAGTATCCACTAGGCCACAGTCGCTAATGCATTCATTGAACTCCCTGACTTTGCCTTGGTTGAAAGGTGCACCCCCCATCTTTTCAGATGGTCCTGTAATTGAGTTGAAGTCACCTGTCAAGAGCCATGGTATTCTAGTTCTTCTTCCAATTATTCTGAGCTCCTGCCAGAGCTCCTTCCGGTCATGCTCATTCGGGCTAGCGTAAATTGCCGTGATCACTCCCACTTCCTGGTTATCAATCCAGTAGCGTAGGTGAATAAGCTGCTTCTGGCAGTCAATGAGCTCCAAGGTAAGCTGTTTGCTATCCCAGAGAACCCAGATGCCTCCACTGAAGCCAGAAGCTTCTGAGATTTCCCACGAATCAAAACCTAAAGTTTTGATAACATCGAGAGCGTCTTTGCCACTAATTCTCGGTTCGAGGATACATACCACGTTTGGAGAGTTAGCAGCATTATACAGATCAAAGGTTGGCTTAAACTTCTGGTGCTTGGCACCCCTACAATTCCAGGAGAAGATCTTTATCATTATAATTGACAAAGAGAGGCTCCTGTAACTCCCAGGAGGAGGGAATCATTTGGA